GACATGAATACCTCTTCTATTTAATTTAGTAATAAATTTAATTTTGTTTTTTAAAAAATTTATTTATTTATTTATTTAAAATTTGTAATATTAAAACAATATAATTTTAATAATTAAATAAAAATAAAATTTGTAATATTAAATTTTTATTTTTAATTTAATAATCAATATTTTATAATATAATAAAACTTAAACGCAAAATGAAAAACACTTTTGCAATTAATTTTTTTATCTTAATTACATAATAAGAGATAATTATTTTTTATTTTTTATTTTATTTTATCTATATGTCATACAACTCAAACACATGATTTTTACTTTTAATCAAAAAAAATAATCATTAAATTATTTAATTAATTTTTTACAATTAACCATTGAGAAAGACATACCATATTTTTGGAGTAGTCCCCCCGGTAGGCTCTAAATTGTCATTACTGCTTTCTCTTAGCACTATTCAATATTTTGAAGAAAAAAAAAACAAAATAATTAAAAAATCAATAATGCGACATAAAAAATCCCAATAATGAAAAATGACTTGGTTACAAGAGGAAAAATTTGGTGAATTTGGTGTGCTCAAACAAGTTTTCGAATTCGAGACCTTGCGTACACAACAACCATTACTGGAAGACTCATATATCATTTTTAGGTGTACGATGCAGGTTGATTTGGATTAGTTCGAGACAAAATCCTGGATACCAGACGGAAACCAAAAAAAAAAAAACAAAACCATAAGTTCAAGGGCTTAACTGCATCAATTAAAGTCTAGGGGGTTAATAGCGATTCTGGAGTTAGTTCAGGGGCTTAACTTATGGTTTTGCCAAAAAAAACAAGAGGAAAAATTTGGTGTGCTCAAGAGTATATGTACGGAAGCTTTTATCCAATCCCGTGGCAGCAAAAGTCGCAGTGAAAGCAAGGAAGTAGTGTACACGAATCTTACGCGGAGAAAAATAGAGCGAGGGAGAGAAAAACCCAAACTCATTGGTGGCTCTGATATCCCTCCCATGTGCTTGCTGCCCTCTGCGTCTTAAGGTTCGCTTCATCTTTCTCTTCATTCGTGATCTCATGTTGTTTTTTACAATTTATTATGAATGTTATACCGTCTTTGGTTGCAGAAACTGATACAATACAAGGATTAGTTTTGTTGGGATTTCATTTTGAGGATCGATGGCTGCACCGCCGGTGAGAGCTCGAGCAGATTATGATTACCTCATTAAGCTTCTCCTGATTGGGGATAGCGGTTCGTTCTTTTCCTTCTTTTCTCTAATACCGTTATACCCATTTATCATTAACCAAAAGGGTTTTGGAAATCAGAAATTTTTATCCCTTGTAGATGTTAAAGTTTTGATTTTTTGGGTATTTGGTGTTCGTGAGTAATTTTATGGTATAGTGTTGATTTATTGGTATGAGGATCAGATACCATATGGGTTCTTGATTCCTGATGTGATTGGTCTGATCGTGTGTCTTTGGTGTTTCTTCATATGCCTTCTACCTTTTAAAGAAATGGTTTTTCTCACAAATTCAGTTTAGTCCATCTTAGATTTATCACTTAGTCTGGTACTTGGGTGTTTATTGTGTGAATTATGTTTGCCCTAATGGTTTATGATTTAGGTAATCAAGAGTCCTTTTTAAATCTTTGCAGGTGTGGGGAAGAGTTGCCTGCTTCTGCGCTTCTCTGATGGATCCTTTACCACCAGTTTTATTACCACTATTGGGTTTGTATCACTGAAACTTACAAACATTATACTCTTTATTGTTACCTGTGAAATGTAAAATGCTGAGGAGAGCATGAGTATCACTTGTGGGGTCTCCTCTCATAACTTGCTGGGCTATATTAAGGATCATTGAGTGATTATGGCCATGTAGTTTTGTTTTGTGTAAAACTGGCTTATAGGAAGGAAGTTTACATTATCATAATTGTTAAACCATCCTCATAGCCATGAAGGATGTGCTTTTCTGACTCATGAATTTGGAAGTTCTGTTTTAACCTTTTTCAATCTTTCCTTCTAATTTACTATTATATTTACCTTGGCAGTATTGATTTTAAGATAAGAACCATTGAACTTGATGGGAAACGAATCAAATTGCAAATTTGGGATACAGCTGGTCAGGAACGCTTTCGAACTATAACAACAGGTTTGTGGTTGGGCTTGTGGAAATTAGTTATTTTTCTTTTCTTTTTCTTCTTTTTAAAAAGATGTAGATATGGCTTTGATGCTGCTGTCCTTTTCATTTGACAGTTTTCCAGGAGATGTTAAAGGTCAAATATATTATTACTTCCATGTTAGTTTGAGATGTTAAATGATTCCCTAGATAAGTGAATATATAGTGCCAAAACATGAAGCAGAATGCTTATTTGCAATATGTGGAAAATTTGACTCCAACTTTCAAACATTTTTAGAAACTTCGGTAGTTAGGATTTGGGATGATTTTGTTAGGTTGAAATCTTATTGACAGTGATTATGGATCCGAGTCTGTTTTTGTTTGCTTTTATAGGTAGTTCAGTCTTATAAAATATCATTATTGTTTTGTCTGAATTTTATTCCTGACCTTGCCAATGCATTTATGCTCTCCTGCAGCTTATTATCGTGGAGCCATGGGGATTTTACTGGTCTATGATGTCACAGATGAGTCATCGTTCAATAGTAACTTCTCAACTCCTTTAGCCTTAAATAACATTCCAGCATCATTTTTGTCTTATGATAACTTGTAAAATTCTTCATGATTTAATGGACTGATATACCTTTCTTGGATTCTTTTTCATTACTTGTATACTTGATTCCTTGGATGGGGTTAGCCATTTTCTTTGTGATTCCCATCCCCTCTTTCATCAAGGTTGAATGTGTATGCCTCATTGGAATGGTGTTTCTTGTGTATTTGGTAAGGCCTACTGTGATGATCTACAACACTTGCAAGTTCAATTGAGCTACTTTCTCTTTGTTTACAGATATTAGGAACTGGATTCGCAATATTGAACAGCATGCTTCTGATAACGTCAACAAGATACTAGTGGGGAACAAGGCTGACATGGATGAAAGCAAAAGGGTAAATATTTTGCGATTTATAACTTGTAGAACACTGCTTATCTTGCTAAGCTTGTGGATTTGCCCAAGTAATGTTATCAAGTTGTTCACCAATAATTAGGAAGTATCTCATTGTTTTGTAGGCTGTTCCCACCTCCAAGGGTCAAGCTCTTGCTAATGAGTATGGTATCAAGTTCTTTGAAACTGTAAGTAATGTTTAGGCCGCTGAGTAAATACTGGCAACTTTATTTGTATTTTTGCTTATGGCAAAAGAATATCTTCTGCAGAGTGCAAAGACAAATTTGAATGTGGAAGAGGTTTTCTTTTCAATAGCCAGGGACATTAAGCAAAGGCTCGCTGAATCTGATAATAAAGTTGAGGTATTCATTCAATCGAGCAAGTAGATTAGCGCCATCTCAAATGTAAAATTTAGTTAGGAAACCTTTCCCCTGCATTGTTGTCAAATTCCCTGATGCATCCATATTTTCTTTCTTCCAGCCCCAATCTGCAATCAACATTAATCAATCAGGCCAAGCAGCAACTGGTAGCGAAGCCACCCAGAAGTCAGCTTGCTGTGGCTCGTAAAGGGAATAAAAACTATGCACAATGGGAAGCAACCTTGAGCTATTGGCGGTCATTCAGGTGTAAAACTGATGAAAATGACTCTGTATTTATGGCTGTGTTTATATTTTAACTACCGGGCTTATTCTGTGAAGGGCAGTCCTTTCTTCACTAAATTTGTCGTATTTAAGACATGACATTTATCCCTTCTGAAACTTAGTTAACTCTAATCATGTACTTGTTGTTTTATATAGATAGCTATTCCAAATGCAGCTTGTTTTACCCCTTTTGTTTTATTTTGATATTTACAATTTAAAATTCAAAAAATCAAGAGGTTTTCATGTCAGGACGTCTTATCACAATCATCCATTAAGTAGGTTCCAATCAAAGACTTACTTAATGGATAGTTATAATAGATGTCCTGATATCAAATTGTTCTGATTTTCACTTTTTTGTTTACAATTAGGATGTTTTAAGTCAAATTTTCCCAACTTGTGACTTCTGTTTAATTGAATTATAGATCTTCCTTGTTCTTGTTGCCGATAGCCGGGGTTTGAATATTCCTTCTCCCTCCCCGGCCTGTTCTTGTCCAGCCGACAAATCTGATTAGCTTGAAAGAATATAGAAAGTTACAAGGATATAGAAAGTTACAAGGGACATCACATTCACATGCAATTATTTTCTCTCCTCCTCCAACCACTACTTGACCCAAAACTTTGCTGTCTGCTGCAGACAAGAAAGAAATTTGTAAATTATCCTAAAAAATCAAGCATTGACCATTTCTCCGTTGTTTTACCCTTTCCTCCATGCTGATATACTTTAAAAAGCGACATGTTTACCTACCAAGGTTCTACGTTGATCTAGTATTTACATGGAACACACCTGTTCCGATTGGAAAAAAGGACAAAATAACACGTAACGGACCTACAGTGTGGTGTCAGATAAACGTTCATGGTTCATGCGTGCAACCATTGGTCGTATCTTGTACCTCCTCATTCCTCCGAGCCCAAAACTACAAGTGTAATTCTCATTCATTCAGCCTTTTATTCGTCTCATTCTTATATAAATTTTCTAGAATATATTGACTTAACCATTAAAATGCATGTA